CCCCAAACACCCACCTTAGCTGGGTCCTTATTGGAAAGGGAAACTGAGTCACGGTGCAGGACTCGGTCAACAGAGGTCTCTTGGCCCACACGTGCTCCAGGAAAGGACACAGATCTCCTGGCTGGCTCCCACAGGCCAGGGGATGGTGTGTGACCCCCACATCCCACCCCACACCTCCCCACTGGTGACATTTGCCCCCGCCCCACACCCCTCTTCTTGGCTTAGGTTCTCCACCAGCTTCGCCTACTACGGGCTGGCCATGGACCTGCAAAACTTTGACTTCAACATCTACGTGATCCAGCTCATCTTTGGGGCCGTGGACATCCCGGCCAAGCTGTTCTCCATCCTCACCATCACCTTCGTGGGGCGACGCTTCACCCAGTCCGTTGCCCTCATCCTGGCTGGCTTGGCCATCTTGGCCAACATCTTGGTGCCACGAGGTGAGGGCTGGGGGTGGTGGCAGTGGCGTCCCCTTCATCTCCAGCGCATAAGGCACCACCTGGGAGGGCCAAAACAAGCTCAACCCATTAACACAACTCACAGGCTGAGTGATTTTAGCTTTTTACGGGTGATTTGCCTGAAATCCTGGTGTTTGGGGTCTCCTCTCTCCATCACCCACTGTCAACCCAACCCACCTCCAACTTAGTGACACCAAAGTGAGGCCCAGATGTCCTGCCCTCATCCCCACAGACCTGCGGACGCTCCGGACTGCCCTGGCCGTCTTCGGGAAGGGTTGCTTGGCCGCGTCCTTCAACTGCGTCTTCCTCTACACGGGTGAGCTCTACCCCACCGTTATTCGGTAAGGAGCCGGGGTGGAGGTTGCGGGAGGTGACGGGGTGGCCGTGACCACGCAGGCTGGTCCTTCAGGGCCCCGCGGTGTCCCACAGGCAGACGGGCATGGGGTTGGCCAACACCATGGCCCGTTTGGGCAGCATCACGGCCCCCTTGGTGAAGATGACAGACGAGGTCTTCCCCGCGTTGCCCTTCATCATCTACGGGGCAGCCCCCGTGGTGTCGGGGCTGGTGGCCATCTTCCTGCCAGAGACACGGAACACGGCACTGCCTGAGACCGTGGAGGAGGTGGAGGGCAGGTGGGATTGGAGAGACTGAAGGACGAGGGGAGGGACAGATGGCTGGTGGGGAGGGACAGACGGCTGGTGGGGAGGGACAGATGGACGAGTGGACACAGGGAGGGATGGTGGGAGGATTGGCCGGACATGGAGAGGGATGGATGGAGGATCGGTTGTGTGTGGGGACGGATGGATGGAGAGGTGGATGGGCAGTTGGGTGGACGGACGGGGTGGAGGATTGGTTGTCTGTGGTGCTGGATGGACGGACAGATGGACAGGGGTGGATGGGATTGGGCAGAGATAAGTGGATAGACAGATGGATGGATAGGAGGAAGACTAGAGCGATGGATGGATGAAAGGATGGACAGACGGACGTCTATGAAGATGGATGGATGGGTGATGGATGGACAGGTCAATGGGGAAGGAGGGGGAACAGCAGCACGAAAACCCACCCGGCCTGCCAAAACCATCCAGCCCATCCTCCCTCTCCCGCCAGGACCCAGCCCCAGAAGGACGAAGCCCAACATCTCCAGGTCCCACTTCAGCCCATCCAGCCCAGCGGCACCACGGGGCCCTGCTAGTGCCAACCACCCTGGGGGACCCCCAAACCGCCCCCCCCCAGGTCCTCAAT